TCAGAATAATGATATTTGTACTATTTGTAAAAGTGAAATTTCTTCAAGCCTTTCTCATCCTATTATAATTTTTGAATGTAAACATTTTTTTCACTATTCATGTATTACCAATAATACTTGTCCTTGTAAAAATAATAAATTTCAAAATAGTAAGAAAAAGAATCAGCTATTAACTAAAAAAATTGTTATACCAACATCAAAAGACTTAGCAAAGTCTAATTTTAAAGCAGATACACCCTCATCATTTTTAAAAATCACAAAAAAAAATAAAAATCCTGATATCAATATTTTAAAACACTCTTTTAAATTATATAAAATATCAAAAAAAATCGCATAAAACAATGCAAAAATTACAAATTGAATCAGAGGAAGAGTCTTCAAATGAAGAATTAGAAGAATTAGAAGAGTCAAAAAAAGAAGAAGCAAAAAAGAAAAAGTCAGAAAAGAAATCAGACGAATTAGAAGAATCAAATAAAGAATTAGAAGAATCAGAAGAAGAATCAGAAGAAGAATTAGAAGAAGAATCAGAAGAAGAATCAGAAGAATTAGAAGAAGAATCAGAAGAAGAATCAGAAAATGAATTACAAAAAGAATTCGAAGAAGAATTTCAAGAAGGATTTCAAGAAAAAACAGAAGAGCAAGAAAAGTTATTACAAAATCAATCAGATGATTCTCAAGAATCTCTAAATGAATTACAAAAGAAACAAAAACATTCTACTAAAGAGAATTAAAATCTTTGCAGGTAGAAAATTATCTAATTTTATACAATTGAAATTAAATATTTGATTAATATTAATTTTGTTTGATTATTTTTCTGTTTTTAAAAATTAATTGATTAATTTATTACTTTCTATTTTAGAAAAAAAATATTTCTTAAATATCTTTTTGAATTTCAAATAAATCAAAAACTCTTATTGCAGCAAAGAAACAAGCAATATTCGAAGAACTTCTATTAGACTTGACTACAACTATACTTGATGAAATAGTTACAAATATTCAAAATATTAATAAAAATAATGAAACTTCAGAATCGATGAGAAAGACCTTAGCAAAATTATATCAAGTTGCTTGGTTCCAGGGGATTGAAGAAGAAAAAATTATTTAGAAAACAATTCATAGTTGGTATGACTATGCCAAGCAATTCGAAAATTGTGTAAGTGAATTGGTCAATAATGGAATAAAAAATAAAACTGCATGAAACAAAATATATGATGAAATAAAGCCTTATGTATCTTCAAAGTGTATGAGAAATAACCTGTGCCAAAAAACACACAAAGCTCGCAAAATATATGAATTATTTAAAGGAATAGATATTGAAAAAATTAAGCGAGTTAAAAGACATAGTGCAGATCAAATATCAAGTCTTAATATAGAAAAAATTCAATTACTTATTAGTCATATAAATGAGTATTCATAACTTTTAATTTTTTATCTTTTTATTTTTCTTTTTATTTTTTTATCTTTTTTTAATGGTTTATTTTTTGTTTTTATTTTATTTTATTTTATCTTTTTTTTATTTAGTTTATTTTTTTTAATGTTTTATTTTTGTTTTTATTATTTTATTTTAACCTTTTTATTTTATTTGGTTTATTTTTTTATTCATTTTATCTTTTATTTTTTTATTAAATAAATTACATTTAATCATTAAGATATTTGACAATTTATCTAGTATGTTATATGAAAAATAATTTATAAAGATTAGGTATATTATAATAAAAAAATAATTTGAGTGAATATTAAGTATAATCATTAAGAATCTTAATAATCATAATTTAGCAATTGCTACATTATGATTGTTAAAATTCTTAATGATTATACTTGCTGAATTAAGAAAGAATTATGATCTTAAGAATCTCAATGATAACAATTCAGCAATTGCTGAATTATGACAGAATTATGATCATTAGATTTCTTAATGATTATAATTCTGTAATTGCTGAATTATAATTTAGCATTTGCAGAATTATGATCATTAAGATTCTTAACAATCATAATTTTGCTAATTGTAATCATTAAGATTCTTAATAATCATAATTAGTTTATTGCTAGCTAGATGTAGATTGTTATCGAAGTAGTGGTTAGCAAGTTCTACTAAAGATGTTATATAATAAAAATTATTAAATTTGATAGGCGTATATAATATTATTGAATGAAAAATACTTTATAAAATTATAAAATTTTAAAATTTTAAATTTACAAATATTAGCAAATTATAATCAATTTAAAATTTTAAATTTGCAAATATTAGCAAATTATAATCAATTTAAAACACATTATTAATAAATTAGCAATTTTAAAACACCACTTTCAAAATAAGATACTTCAAAAATTTTTGGTCTAAATGTAAAAGGATGAATAGTAAAAATCAAATTTTTTTGTATAAAAAGAATACTAATTAAATTGTAAGATACAAATATTAACTTATAGGTGAAAACTATCCTTTTTCACAAAACATTGTTCATAATAAATTTTATCATTACCTGAAAAAATTTTGATATTATACTTGTGTTTTAAAATGGTTCTTGGGACTTGTGACATTGGGGTGTGTAATAATTTGATACCTATTATATAAAATTTAATAACAGTAGAATAATAATTAATCAGAATACTTTTATAGAATTTTTTA